TTTGCATGTTGTACCCTCTTTGAGAGTGAGACCTATTACTGTAAGAATATTTTTCAAAATTTGCAGGACTTTTCCTTTGACCCTTAATTAAATTGGCACAACAAAATCTTTCTGGATTTATCATTTAACATTCAACATTGCTAGATTTCAATTCTAGAAGCAAATTTCCTGAAATTCTTTTCGAGAGAATGCAATATGCATCCCTTTTTCGAACTACACTTATTTCACAAAAGCTGCTTGCAGGCCCTAATAATGAATAATAATATGCATTTAAAATCGTATTATTTTAATCGTTCTTGAAACTGTGTTTGAAAATGAACTCTATTGCTAAATTGCTCAGCTAGGCCTTTTACACGTTTTGCTGTTTTTGGGGTTAAGGGGGGAAATGCTGGCATTTATTGTTTATGGACGCTGCAGGACGCAGACTAAAGTCGCAGACAAAAGTCCGTAATAGAAAGGGCCCAAGTTGTTTGTGCAATGCCAATAGTAGTCTGAAGGTACTACTTGAGAAGAGAAGGCTACTGATGACACTTGTGGTATCTTCTTGTGGCATGTGATCCGGGGAATCCCGGAAAATTCCCGGTTTTCGGAAATCCCGACTTTATTTCTCGATTTTCGGGAAACCCGGGATTTTTTTGTTCGGGATTCCCGAATCCCGGGATTAATTATTTTGATCGGGATTGACTTCACTAATTATGAGCCGAACATTTTTTTCGGTTTTTCGAAGTCCACGGCCACACCTTGACCTACCCCTCGATATACGATTTTGGACACGTTTTCTAAGTCGAAATTTTTTCAAAGTTTTTCTGGAAACTACTTTTGTTCATGTTTCATACTACCCTGATCATTATGAGCTGAAAATATTTTTCGGTCTTCTGAAGTCCGTACTTACATTCGAAAGGCTGTGGTTGTGATTGGTTCCAAAGAATTAATTTGGTCCTCAGAATTAAAGAAAAATGCACAATTTGTCGCGGAGAATTGAAAAAATCGCGATTTGTCGCGGCAAACGTCAAAAAACGCGATCTGTGGCGGAGAATGGGAAAAATCGCGATTCCGCACGTGCCGCGATTTCCTTTTGACCTTGCAGTATAAATTGATTCAAACAACAAATCTCTATGTTAGTTTTCACGACGAGATTTATCGTAGTATTTAAAGCAAATAAGATTCTAGCTCAATTTCAATAAAAAAAATAACGCACTGAGGATATCCAGAACTTGAAAAACAACAAATTTGTCGGCCGTCGGTGCAACAATATGTGCTGTAGCTTTGATTGTTTTACTAAGATCTCATTTTTAACAGCTACTATAATATAATGGGAGAAAGCTCAGGCGAACATTGTGCTCTTCTCCAAAAGACGGACGATACTTGGACAAGAAATAGGATAATTGGATTCTTCTTTTCTTTGGACTGCTTATCAATATCGGGGATGGCATTGAGATATATTTACCAGGTATTTTTGGGAATTTGAGCTTCATAAGAATGATAACTTTGAAAAAACTGAATTGAAATTAACAGATTAAGCAGTTTCTTGTGAACATTACGCTACCCATTGCAAAGGATTTTGCATGACTTTTAAATTCTGCAGGTGTTTTGACACAATACGTGGCCTGCGAAATTGGAGTTAATGATTGGCAGGAAGGAATTCTGGGCTGCATTCTTTATTTAACAATGGGAATGACTACCTTTGCAGCAGGTCCCTTATCTACTCGGTAAGAGCTTCAGTGCGATTGTAATAGTTAAATACTGAACTGTGAATATGAGGACTGGAAGTCCTCCACTCATCTTACCACGGTCAAGGTACCTGTACCGTTTATACTATTACTAGGCAACATCATGGTTTGTGTTAAGTTGCTCCTTTTTGGTTGTTGAGAACTGTTCAATTCCCTCAAATTATCCTAATTACAGATTCGGCCGACGAGAAACCATCCTCCTGTCCCTCTACGGTAGTATAGTGAGCACCATCGTCTGTTCTGTGGCGGGGAACTACCTGACTCTCCTACTCTCAAGGGCCCTCATCGGCTTCACTGTGGGATTAAATATGTCTGTCACTTACGTGTTTCAGGCCGAGAAAGCTAACAGTAAGAAGATTGTGAATACTTTAGTACTGGTTAGCAGCTTAGGTTACTCTGTAGGCAGTATCTGGATTCCAGTTATCGCGTATTTCAGTCTAGCTCTGCTCGGCTGGAGAACGTTCCTGCTTATCGCCTCTCTCCCAATCTTTATTCCTCCAATTTTGATCCTGCACATTTTCTTAACAAACAACTCGAATTTGGAAACAATCAACCAAACAGAACCAACTGGAAATGGAGAAGCAAAAGCTGTAGCTGTGGATGTACCAAATTTTGAAATGAGACTATTAAAACTGTGCTTTTTTGCCGCCATTAATAACTACCAAGGCTGGGGGACTATTCTACTCTTACCTTCATTGATACGACATTTCAACGTAAGAGAAGTTGGAGGAGAAGGTACCAACTGCGAAACAGTCACTCAAGGAACTCAATTCTTCCTCCTAGCATTTGTCTCGGGAGCAGCAGGACTAGGAAGAATTGCATCTCCGATCATCAGGAAGAAGATTAGATTTAGAATTTTGTACACCTCGCTTGCCGTGATTATTTTAGCCAGCTACATGATGTTGCTGCTCATCGAAGAAAGCCTAATCGTTATTGTGGTCATGACATTTTTAGGGAAATTGATATACGGGATGATCTCAATGGAAAAGACTTACATATGCTACGACGTTCGATATTTCGGAAAAAATGGGATGGCTATTGGATCTGGCATAGTCCAAGGTGCAGGTTCGATGGCAGCGGTAGCCGGCACTGCTTTGGTTTCTTTTGCTTCACCAAAAATTGCTATCATCGCTGGCTTGGTGCTGAGTGTTGTTCAGATCTTAGTAGTCAATTCTATGGGAGAGCAAGACCAGTGGTAACCAAACCGGAAACATTGGATGCCCATAATTTGAAACTAAAGGCAGCCTTTACATTGCGATGGTAAAAAAACAGTGGATCGACTTCCAAAATGTTGGCAGCGAATTATTAAAGCGAAATTTCATGCATGATATGATTATAAGTGATAAGTACTTTCAACACTTCAACATTGATGTACTGAATTCCTACATATTACGTAATCAATATTTTAGCAATTTTTACCCCCTACCCCCCTCCGTAATCAACCGTAATCAATACCCAACCCCCCCCCCCCCCCCCCCCTTCCTGACAGCAATATTACGTAATCATGACCTGACCCCCCGGCCCCCCCCCCCCTTTAATTTTTTACATGTAAACACTTCTCTTCACGTTTGATGCTATCCTGATCATAATGAGCCGAAATCATTGTTATGATTATATCCGGCCAATCACCTTCTAAACTACTTACTATAATAGTCGGATATCCGATCAATTTTAAAATTTGTTCACTACCTGACTCTCTAACTGTCTAAGCTTTCGTCTAAAACGATTAAAACCATGACATTGGTGGATTTGGTCTCACCGGGGCCCCTGCTGTACAATTCTAGATAATTCTTTGAGATGGTTTAACACACACTTGCACTGTGACAGGGTGTCACTTTTCATATATGTGAATTCTCGTGGGAAAGTGAGGCACATTTGTTTACTTTAATAGTAAGTACCTGTTCAACAAAGAACCCGAAGAAAATAAGACGTAGCCTACGGTACATTAGTACATAGAATTCGATATTGTAACTGCATAAGTATACTCTAATTTAAGCTAAATATTTCACGCCTAATACGAACTATTAAAGTATTAAGAAAACTGAAAGGTTTGTGACCTGCCGTGACACGTCAGCTCATTAAACAATGAATAATATTACTACGGAGCACTAACTATTATTCTTTACGAAACAAACAATATTATTTCTTACAAAACACTAAAAATATTACTTCTTAAGAAAAACCAACCCTTCTGTCTGACATGTACATTGTATCCGCATGGAATAGTACTACTCTAAGTCTAAGCAGGTTTTCAGATCGTCTGTTTTTGACGTATGTTCGTTTGGGGACCCGGACCGGCTTTTGGTACACCGGCCAAATGATTCCAAAAATCATGTGGTAGTTGGTACATAACAATATAATTTTATTATATAAGTGAAAATGAGAATTGTAAATTATGGTGTAACCTTTATTCTTAAAAATCAAAACCTTAAAAATTAAAACGTGCATATGATTTATTTATTAAAAAACACAGTAAAAAATAATTGGATTTGATACGACAGATAATCACACGCACTGTTTCAAGGCCGACTGATCCATTGGCATTACATTTGCGCTTTTAAATTACATAGAGTTGAAACTGGCCCGCAAGGTTTGTATAATGTAGATGTCCTCAGCAAGTTTTGATAAGTTTCTTATGTTACTATATATAAAGCGAGACGATATATATATATATATGGATCTGTGCCATTTTACTGACACCACGGCATCAACCTTAACGCGATTGTCCGCAAAAACCGTAAAAGATATACAACTGAAACTTTTTTGACTGGGTCAAATGCTTTAATGGCCTTCAAATCAGCATGAAAAAATAAAAAATTGGCCAAGGAATAAAAATTTTAGTGCCCAAAATTTGGACTCCCAAGTGGTGTCAAAAACTCGAATTAAATAGGTAATAATTATTTTAGTCTCTCGAGTCTTGACACCACTTTACGGTTAGACGGGATCCTGCTAGTAATTATAAACTACAGGGTGGGCCAAAAGTCAGTGGGCATACTTAACTAGCAGGAACCCGTCTAACCGTAAAGTGGTGTCAAGACTCAAAAGACTAAAAGAAGGTAGTCAGAAGGTAGTCAGGCGAGGTTGCAGCTTAGCGGGGAGGTGATCCCGAATGTATCTGAGAAACCAATCAAGTTTCTAGGGAGGTGGATTCGGGCAGAAGGAAAGGACAAAACTATAATCGAGAAAACACACGAGGATCTTATTACATACCTCAGTAGACTCGATCTTAGCTCCCTCACCGGCCTGCAGAAATGTTGGGGGTATCAGTATATGGTCCTTCCAAAGATGAAGTGGCCACTTGCCATTTATGATATCCCGATCAGCACTGTTTCTCGCTGGGAGCAAACAACTAACAGTCATCTCAGAAAATGGCTAGGAGTGGGACACACGCTTAGTAGCTCTTGCCTGTTTAGTCATTCATCCAGTGTTGCTCTCCCCATCGACAGCCTAACCGACACTTGGAAAGTAGAAAAGTGCCGTCTCTTGCAGTCATATCAAACATCTCAGGATGCTTTGATCAGAGCGGTGCAACCCCAGGTGCGGTCTGGGAGAGTTTGGAAGGCAGATGCTCAGCTTCACGAAGCTGAAAGAGACTTGGTGTGTGAGTCAGTGCGAGGTATGGTGCAACCTCTTAGTAGAGCGGGAATTGGTTTCGGTGATTGGAAGAAGCCCTGGGAGAAGATGTCAGAAAAGGAGCAGCAGAGGGAGGTGTTGGATAGGGTTAAGGAGAACATCAGGAAGGAAAGAGAGGTGCAGTTGGGTACGTTGGAGATGCAGTCCAGGTGGGGTAATTGGAGAGAGCTGGTGACAAGGACTGACATGAGCTGGCACACGCTCTTCAAGTATGGGGACTCATTAATCGGTTTTCTGCTTAGTGCTGTGTATGGCACGCTTGTTACACCAGCTTTAGCATCCAAGTGGAGCGAGGATGAGGATGGGATGTGCAAGCTGTGTGGTGACAAGTTGGGAACTGTGCCGCATATCCTGGCTGGTTGTCCTGTGGCACTAAGTCAAGGGAGATACCGATGGCGCCACGATAAGGTGCGTAAACAAATAGCAGACCAACTTAAATTCCATTGTGAGCGGAGAGTCAACAAGAGGAAGAGTTCTTGTGTCACTCGGAAAGCCATTGAGTTTGTTCCAGCAGGAGGGAGGTTTAAGGAGGTGAAGAGTTCGAAAGTCAGTGAGTTTGGGATTCTGAGTGGGGCCACTGATTGGATAGTATTAGCAGACCTGGATAAGAAGCTGAAATTCCCGTCGGATATAGCAACGACCAGATTAAGACCAGATTTGGTTCTTTTCTCGAAAGCTTCCAAGAGAGTAATCTGGTGGGAGCTTACAGTACCGTCGGAAGAGAGAATAGCTGCATCCCATGAGCTGAAGCTTGATCGGTATAACAGTCTACAAGCGGAAATACAAGCTAATGGGTGGTCATGTTTCAGCTTTGCTGTTGAGGTTGGTGCTAGAGGTGTGGTCGCAGCAAGTTTGGAGTGTGCATCAAGGAAGATTGGTCTGACTGGGAGAGCCCTCAAGAAGTTGGTCAGAGATTGGGAAGGATGCAGCCCATTGTTCAAGATGGATTTATCTGCTGTCTAGGAAAAGAGAGTGGGAGATGAGAGCTGTTTGAGCTTTATGACTTCACCTAACAGCCAGAGGTGCCATAAGCTAACTCGTCGTAAATCGCGAGCTCTAGCAGGTATCCTCGGGTGATTGTCAGATCAGATGGTGGTCCAAGAGAGACTGCTGGGGCACCTGACAGAAAACCGTATCGCAATGAAAGCCCCGAAACGGTGTCAGGTTTGTGACTGAAGATTCTGATCAAGCTCAGGGTTGAGTCTACACCGTGTCGCCACTTGCCGATGCCAGTTGATGCGAGAAGACACTGATGTAAGTGGGAAGTTATGTCTAAGAAACAGCGTGTGGTTCGGGTGCCGGTTGAACGCATGTAAAAGGGAGGGTATATCCGTATTTCGCTGCTAGTGATGCAGTCCTTGGCCCGGTAGCTAAGGCTTCCCCGTTTCTCGCTCATTTGTGCTCCGATGGGCTTGTGACCTCTGCGGGGGTCAAGTGCAGGATGAGGGACAGGGCCGACCAGGAGAAGGTTGTTTTTGGGAGATAGAGTAGGGTTGGTTTGGTGTTGTGCCTTCGCAGTTTAACTGTATCTTTACCCTGATCTGTGCCATTTTACTGACACCACGGCATCAACTTTAACACGACTTTCCGCAAAACCGTAAAAGATATACAACTGAAACTTTTTTGACTGGGTCAAATGCTTTAATGGCCTTCAAATCAGCATGAAAAAATAAAAAATTGGCCAAGAAATAGGAGTTTTAGAGCCCAAAATTTGGACCCCCAAGTGGTGTCAAAAACGCGAATTAAATAGGTAATAATTATTTTAGTCTCTTGAGTCTTGACACCACTTTAGGGTTAGACGGGTTCCTGCTAGTTAAGGCCAACGTATGCCCACTGACTTTTGGCCCACCCTGTAGTTTATAATTAAAATGGCACGGATAAATAAATATATATATACAGGGTGGCCCATAAGTGACTACCCACACGCAACCTCTTAATAACTCACGTAATTCGTCTCCAAATTGCACCAAAATTTCAGAGATTATAGATATGGGTCAAACTTAGATTTCCTGAAAGTTTCGTAAGCCACGCCCAATTACAGTGGGCGTGGCGTGACACTCCCTCTTTTTCACTATTGTCTTCATAAAATGAGAACGCTTTAGGCTAAGAACAAAACAGAGCCAAACAGGCCATTAACCAAGTGACGAGATCACTGACTGAGTGCTCGGATCACGTATCCGATGAGTTTTGAAATAGTCATAACTTAGCCATATTTTAACCAATGAACTTGAAACTTTAGGAAAAGTTTTCAATTATCAAGCCAAATGTGTGCAAAAAATTTTGAGTTCTTAGCTTAAAGCGTTCTCATTTTATGAAGACAATAGTGAAAATGAGGGAGTGTCACGCCACGCCCACTGTAATTAGGCGTGGCTTACGAAACTTTCAGGAAATCTAAGTTTGACCCATATCTATAATCTCTGAAATTTTGGTGCAATTTGGAGACGAATTACGTGAGTTATTAAGAGGTTGCGTGTGGGTAGTCACTTATGGGCCATATATATATATATATTATGATTGGCTACTGGGACACGTCATACACACGGTTGGATTGTTAATTCGGTTGAAGTACCTTTACATCCATTATCACCATAATCTGAACATGATTTATTAAAAATTTGCAATATCGAAAACGAAAAATCTGAATAAACTGAAAATTTTAAAACTGAAAGCTGCACTCAATTGATGGAAGGCAAAAATTTACTCATAACTAGCAAGGTAATAACTACAAATGAACAGCAGATTTATAAATCTGCTGATAAAAATTAGATAAAAGACATGGTAACTGATAAGAGTTTGAAATTACACGTAAGCAGATAAATTGTCTAAAATTTCTGTCTCAAATCAAGTTTATAGTGCATCATGAATTTAGGCTTGTTCGATCAAAGTTATATTAGGAGATATTAGGAAAATAGTTCGGTCGGCCGGAAGGGAGTCCAGACTGAGTGTGGTGTGGAGGCAGGATCACCGAGAGACTCGAGATGCTTGTGAGAGTAGTGTACTCATCTAACCGCCATCCAGTATGTGCCACCGGTAGAAATACATATATTATGATTGGCTACTGGGACACGTCATACACACGGTTGGATTGTTAATTCGGTTGAAGTACCTTTACATCCATTATCACCATAATCTGAACATGATTTATTAAAAATTTGCAATATCGAAAACGAAAAATCTGAATAAACTGAAAATTTTAAAACTGAAAGCTGCACTCAATTGATGGAAGGCAAAAATTTACTCATAACTAGCAAGGTAATAACTACAAATGAACAGCAGATTTATAAATCTGCTGATAAAAATTAGATAAAAGACATGGTAACTGATAAGAGTTTGAAATTACACGTAAGCAGATAAATTGTCTAAAATTTCTGTCTCAAATCAAGTTTATAGTGCATCATGAATTTAGGCTTGTTCGATCAAAGTTATATTAGGAGATATTAGGAAAATAGTTCGGTCGGCCGGAAGGGAGTCCAGACTGAGTGTGGTGTGGAGGCAGGATCACCGAGAGACTCGAGATGCTTGTGAGAGTAGTGTACTCATCTAACCGCCATCCAGTATGTGCCACCGGTAGAAATACATATATTATGATTGGCTACTGGGACACGTCATACACACGGTTGGATTGTTAATTCGGTTGAAGTACCTTTACATCCATTATCACCATAATCTGAACATGATTTATTAAAAATTTGCAATATCGAAAACGAAAAATCTGAATAAACTGAAAATTTTAAAACTGAAAGCTGCACTCAATTGATGGAAGGCAAAAATTTACTCATAACTAGCAAGGTAATAACTACAAATGAACAGCAGATTTATAAATCTGCTGATAAAAATTAGATAAAAGACATGGTAACTGATAAGAGTTTGAAATTACACGTAAGCAGATAAATTGTCTAAAATTTCTGTCTCAAATCAAGTTTATAGTGCATCATGAATTTAGGCTTGTTCGATCAAAGTTATATTAGGAGATATTAGGAAAATAGTTCGGTCGGCCGGAAGGGAGTCCAGACTGAGTGTGGTGTGGAGGCAGGATCACCGAGAGACTCGAGATGCTTGTGAGAGTAGTGTACTCATCTAACCGCCATCCAGTATGTGCCACCGGTAGAAATACATATATTATGATTGGCTACTGGGACACGTCATACACACGGTTGGATTGTTAATTCGGTTGAAGTACCTTTACATCCATTATCACCATAATCTGAACATGATTTATTAAAAATTTGCAATATCGAAAACGAAAAATCTGAATAAACTGAAAATTTTAAAACTGAAAGCTGCACTCAATTGATGGAAGGCAAAAATTTACTCATAACTAGCAAGGTAATAACTACAAATGAACAGCAGATTTATAAATCTGCTGATAAAAATTAGATAAAAGACATGGTAACTGATAAGAGTTTGAAATTACACGTAAGCAGATAAATTGTCTAAAATTTCTGTCTCAAATCAAGTTTATAGTGCATCATGAATTTAGGCTTGTTCGATCAAAGTTATATTAGGAGATATTAGGAAAATAGTTCGGTCGGCCGGAAGGGAGTCCAGACTGAGTGTGGTGTGGAGGCAGGATCACCGAGAGACTCGAGATGCTTGTGAGAGTAGTGTACTCATCTAACCGCCATCCAGTATGTGCCACCGGTAGAAATACATATATTATGATTGGCTACTGGGACACGTCATACACACGGTTGGATTGTTAATTCGGTTGAAGTACCTTTACATCCATTATCACCATAATCTGAACATGATTTATTAAAAATTTGCAATATCGAAAACGAAAAATCTGAATAAACTGAAAATTTTAAAACTGAAAGCTGCACTCAATTGATGGAAGGCAAAAATTTACTCATAACTAGCAAGGTAATAACTACAAATGAACAGCAGATTTATAAATCTGCTGATAAAAATTAGATAAAAGACATGGTAACTGATAAGAGTTTGAAATTACACGTAAGCAGATAAATTGTCTAAAATTTCTGTCTCAAATCAAGTTTATAGTGCATCATGAATTTAGGCTTGTTCGATCAAAGTTATATTAGGAGATATTAGGAAAATAGTTCGGTCGGCCGGAAGGGAGTCCAGACTGAGTGTGGTGTGGAGGCAGGATCACCGAGAGACTCGAGATGCTTGTGAGAGTAGTGTACTCATCTAACCGCCATCCAGTATGTGCCACCGGTAGAAATACATATATTATGATTGGCTACTGGGACACGTCATACACACGGTTGGATTGTTAATTCGGTTGAAGTACCTTTACATCCATTATCACCATAATCTGAACATGATTTATTAAAAATTTGCAATATCGAAAACGAAAAATCTGAATAAACTGAAAATTTTAAAACTGAAAGCTGCACTCAATTGATGGAAGGCAAAAATTTACTCATAACTAGCAAGGTAATAACTACAAATGAACAGCAGATTTATAAATCTGCTGATAAAAATTAGATAAAAGACATGGTAACTGATAAGAGTTTGAAATTACACGTAAGCAGATAAATTGTCTAAAATTTCTGTCTCAAATCAAGTTTATAGTGCATCATGAATTTAGGCTTGTTCGATCAAAGTTATATTAGGAGATATTAGGAAAATAGTTCGGTCGGCCGGAAGGGAGTCCAGACTGAGTGTGGTGTGGAGGCAGGATCACCGAGAGACTCGAGATGCTTGTGAGAGTAGTGTACTCATCTAACCGCCATCCAGTATGTGCCACCGGTAGAAATACATATATTATGATTGGCTACTGGGACACGTCATACACACGGTTGGATTGTTAATTCGGTTGAAGTACCTTTACATCCATTATCACCATAATCTGAACATGATTTATTAAAAATTTGCAATATCGAAAACGAAAAATCTGAATAAACTGAAAATTTTAAAACTGAAAGCTGCACTCAATTGATGGAAGGCAAAAATTTACTCATAACTAGCAAGGTAATAACTACAAATGAACAGCAGAT